TCTATTTGATTAGTAACCTGTTTAGCGGCTTCGATTCTCCGGCAATTTCTTCGTACAACTGCAACTTGGACTCTCCGACTCCTTCGAATTATGACCGAGAAGAAAACAAAACACACATAGATATAATAGATAGAAGGAGATAGCCTAAATTGACATAATTACCCCTCTCTCAGACGGTTATCTAATAGAAATATAGACGGAGGACCAAAAATGTCCTCGCCACAATAACTCTGTCCATAAAATGGCATTTTTTTTTTTATAAAGGACTAAAATTGTCCAAGCCACTATAAATTTAGGACTAAAAATGTCTTTTACTCATAAATAAAGTACAATTTTGAAAATGATGACTGAGTATGTGGAGTATAATTATATATATTCTCATATCATAATGTTATAGATGCTCAAAATATTGAATAACGAATATGACTCAATCTCCAACTCATAAAGTTGGGACAATCCATCCAAGTTGATCACCTAGGATGCTTTACCTCCTTGTGTTTCTTTGGCGACTAAGGTCACAAGGTGAAGTTTATCTAGTGCACACCTCCGGATAGTGAATGTCGTAGTCTGTAGATTTTCCTCGTCACCCAAAAGAATAAATAAAGTCCAGAAAGCGGTGGTTGAGTGCGTGGAACATAATTTTCGTACTAGAATGTCACGAGTTTGATTTTGTCAACACCCTCTTGATCTGTGAGTTATTATACAGGATTAAGATTTTTGTGGACTCTTAGACCCTTGGATATTCGTTGAAAGTTTTTAGTGTAACCCAAAATCAATTAATAAAAATGAAACAAAAAAAAATAATGGAAGATATACTTAAATATTTGTAAGCTACTTGATAGTAGGGCAAAGGCAAGAAGATAAGCCAATGGGAAGAAACACAAAAGGGGTTTGAAACTTTGATTACAATAAAGAAGACCCTTACAAGTTATTGACTAAAATGGCATCCAAGCATCCTTACATATAGGATGAAGTTATTGGATTCTTCTTTTTGGTGAATTTTGAATTGATTGCTACTTTAGACAAATGAATATTGCAGTAAATATTCACTTGCTCCCCAATTATGTTTCATGTATTAACTTTTCAGACTATGACAACGAGTTAAAAGAGAAATACTATACGTATTTTTATTTTTTAGTTTGATTTTTAAAAAAAAAATTCTTTGCTAACATAACATGCTTTGATTTATTTAAAAAAGGGTCATAATTTTTATTTTATTTTTTTCTTCTTCTAATAAAATTAGGACATTCAAATCCCCATGTAAGACTTAAGTTTTTTGGTTCTATGTATTTCCTTTTTCCAAAAAATTAAAAAAAAATAAAAAAATAAAAATTAAAACATTTAGTGAAAGTGTTACTCTCTTATAATATATTTATCGTTTTTCTGAGCCATAACTAGCTAGTAGGGCAACCAAAGGAGGAAGTTAATTGGGAGTACTTTACACAAGTATTAATACAAAGTTTTAAAGCCAATAATGAGTCTAAATAATTTTTTTTAAATAGTATAAAGTTTAAAAATTCAAATACTAAGATTTAAATAGAAATAATTTATTTTATATTATATTATTATTATTGATATTGAAGACCTTTAAATTTCTAACTTGCTCCCATCCTATTGAGTGATGGGGACAATTTAGCTAGCTCCACGAGTTAAGTTCATTTTGAAAGCTTTAATTAAGATTAATTTGACCTCTCAAAAATGAGTGTAAAGTTAATACAGTTCTGCTACAAACATTAGTTAAACAAATAAAGTTAAAATTAGTCAAAAAGTTTATAACACAATTCAAAATATTCCCCGGACTGTAATGGCATAATCTAACATAATGTATATTATCTATTTATTTAATAAATATATAATTGTGCTTTAAATGTTAAGTGAAACATTTATCTTGACACACATATAATTAGTATCATCCGTCAATATGATATTATGAGATGAGTCATTAATGATCAATGACTCGAAAAAAAAGAAAAAAAAAAGAAGAAAAAAGTATGATTGTATTTTCATAATTATTACAAATTTTAGATATGTATAGTATTGTGCAAGTTTCAAAGTGTATCTATTAATACGTTACAATGCAACCAACTTGAGTGCACTTTTACAAATATAGAGTGCAGTGTTACGTTATATATTATCATATGCACTCTAAAGTTTTGTGCAATACAAATCCAAAATTTATAACATTCACTAATTAAATTGTCACAACATTGTCTCCCTTATTTTTGAGTCATTAATTAGTATCATCTGTCAATATGATATTATGCTTGAATATGAGTTTCTGACATATCCTATGAATTGAAAGGAAAAAATTAAAAAAGATACTGTGGTAGGTAGAATTTTAATACCTAAAGTTGTCAATGATTGTTCTTAGGTTAAATATGAGAATGGTTTTCTTTTTCTAAAGGAACAATGATTACAATAATATAATTATACATTTTCTTTCAAAATTTTTGAAATGCTAACAAAAAAAAATGTTCTACATAAATGAATGTGAATATTATTAAAGGACTTTATTATGATTATATATCTCTTCATCATGAACTATCTATATCTTGTATATATATTAAATTGAAAGATGAATAATACGATTGGATAATTTTTTTTTTCTTTCTATCTCTTTTCTAATCCTTTACTTTTATATACTATACATTAAATAAGATAAAATGAAAAAACAAAGAATATAAAATGAAAAACAAAAATTCTTTTACCAAAAAGAATTAATTTTTAATTAAAAAAATTAAAATAAATAGAAGTTAAATTTTCAAATAAGAAAATCATATTAAAATAGATACAAAGTATTCATTAATTTAAAATTATTATTAAATTAAATCATATTTATAGAAACTACACACACAAATATATTGAGGATAGAACTGACCCAAAAAAAATAATATTGAGAGTAAACTTGACAAGAAAGTATACATGTACAACGCAAAGAACACCAAAGAAAAGTATTTAATGCCACTTATATCACTAATGTCAAGGACTTTGTGATCCAATGACACCAAGTTGCTTCCTCATAGGGGAGATTGTGGGTTCGAGCCTCAGTGGAGGTGATGTTGACTCTTTGTGCACATTTTAATAGAGTTAGGCTCTGTTCAACATTGATGGTAAGCAGGAACTCACAACGCTCATCGACTAAAAACAATTCAATTCAGCTAGAACGGGTGCACATGGTGGATGGTAAGAAGGAACTCACAACACTCGCACGGGTGCACATGGTGGATGGTAAGAAGGAACTCAATTCAGCTAGAACGGGTGCACATGGTGGATGGTAAGAAGGAACTCACAACACTCGCTCATCGACTAATTACAATTCAGCTAGAATGGGTGCAACATGGCACTCATCGACTAATTACAATTCAGCTAGAACGGGTGCTCACTAGACTATAGTCAACCGCAAGAAGGGTACATGAAATGCAATATTGATGCATCTCTATTTCTAGATTTGGGAAATGTCAATTTTGGTCTAGTATTGAGAGATGCTAGTGGCAACTCCGTCTCAGTAAAGAACGACTTCCTTGGAATTGGTTGCCAATATGATCTCAATCATGTAGAGGCCTTGGTTTGCAAATGAGGGCTCTCCTAGTTAAAGAGCCAAGATCACCACCACATGGTACTCAAGATTGATGGATTTTTCAAACACGAGATTTGTTATCATGCAATGCATTTCTTTACTTTGTAGTTTAAACAATGTTATTATCAGTCATGTCTATGTATCAGCAAACTTTATACCTCATGTTCTTGCTAAAGTTACAAGTTCTCAATCTGGTCCAGAAGAGTAGTCTCATCGCCTACCTTTCATATATTAACACTTTACTCTTTTCTCGTTAATGGAGTCCAATATATATATATATATATATATATATATATATATATATATATATATATATGAGAACTAGGTTTCTCTACGAAGTGTGAATTAATATGATATATATTCCATCTAGAATTATCCATGATTAGAAGACAAAGAAAATAAGGAATTAATTTCATAAATATTACAAACTTTTTGTAATATTTATGAAATTGTACCTTCATATTTTTTTTCAACCAATAATTTATTAAATTGATGATTAACATTTATGCATACTTCTCATGAGAATTCTTATTTCATAAAAGTTCAACCCTATATAATAATTACATAAATGCTTTCCAAGTCCAAATTTGTATAATACACTATATTTCCTTAATTAATGAGATCATTCATTGAAAAAAAAAAAAGTTACACATCTCATTTATAAATTATTAAAATATTACAATTTTCGTCCATCAATTATAATTTATAGGAATAAGGTTCAAATTGGCCACTGAACGTAACCTGAAAATGCAATTAGGCCACTGAACGAAAATAAAGTGCAATTAAGCCACTGAACACTCCAAAAACGTGCAATTAGGCCATTGAACTCTCCAAACGTATGCAATTTCACCGGATAGCAGGTTACCATCAATTTTAGCAGGTTACCTGCTTACGTGGCAGCTGAGTTGGCATTTTTAATAAATTTTAAATAATTTTTAATAATTAATTTTAATAATAAATTTTATAAAAAATTGAAAAAAAATAAATAAATAATAAAATAAAGTCATTTTTATTTTTTTAAAAAAATTTTAAATAAAAATTTATTATTAAAATTTATTAAAAAATATTTAAAATTTATTAAAAATGACAACTCAGCTGCCACGTAAGCAGATAACCTGCTAAAATTGAGGGTAACCTGCTGTCAGGTGAAATTGCACATTTTTGAAGTGTTCAGTGGCCTAATTGTACTTTTTTTTCGTTCAGTGGCCTAATTACATTTTCAGGTTACGTTCAGTGGCCAATTTCAACCTTATTCCTAATTTATATAATCCTAAACCAAACATTATTACATTAAGGAGTTTTTGTACAACCCCTATGCAAATGGCCATGCTGGATACTCGTGTATATTAGCAATAATACGCACAGGCAGAAAGAGACACCTCATCATCTCTATCTTTGGTTCAATCCTTCCCCATTATAGAGAAAATAAAGCTAACACTACAATATATACACATCATTTCATCATTCATTCCGCATATAAAACTTCTCCTCCTCTCTCTCTCTCTCTAAAACTTCTCTGTCAAGGTCTCTTTTTCTTCTATTGACCCTTTGATCTGACTATTACTCACTTGTGCTTGATTAGAATTGCACAGATTTTTGGTGATTTTACAAACAAAGGCAGAAAATTTTGGGAAGATTTCGCATGGGTTTTGAGGAATCTTGCGGTCTCTGTTTAATGTAATTTTTGTTCCTTAATTTTGTGTTCCTTGGATCTGTAATGATCGCAATGCACAGAATCGATATATACCCGTGTTCTCTGTTTGGACTTTATTGCATATATATTCTCAATTTTTTTTTCTCTACTCTCGGACACGATGAATTGAATTGACGGTGGATTATTTGATGATGTTTTGAGACCCGGATCACCAAAGATCAAATTTTTATCTGTCATTTCTGGTGTGGGTTGTGAGTTTTTGACTGTTTCGTGAGTAGGACACACTTGTGTGAAATAGCATACCTGTTTGGGCGTGGAAAATTCCTTTCTTTTTCTGGGTATAGAATATGCTCCATGGAAAGATTGGTATTCTTCACGTAACAGTTTTCCTTGCCTTTCATGTATCTACAACCCCCTGATATTGGTTTCTTGTTTGAGTGTGTTTGTGTTGCGTGCTGTTGAATATCTGCCCATCTCTTGACTTTTGGCTAGTTAAAAGGAGGTTCTTTTTCAAGTTTTAGATGGTTTGATCCAATTTTGAGTTCACTTGTTGGTTTTTTGTTTTCTTGTGAGCTTATGATCTTGTGGACTGCTAAGTGCTAACCATTTGGGACATTTCTGAGCTGGGAATCAATTTTAGTGCACAGAGGATGTTTTCTGAATTGTTGTTTTAGTATTTTATTGGTCAGTTAATTGTTGTCAGTAAGCAGTATTGAGAATTTAAGATATATTTAGTGATGATGGTTTATTGTGGTTGTAGGATTGAAGCTGCAAGTTATTCTATCAGCTTTTAGTTTAAGGTAATTATTTACATTTGGATTACTACTAGTAGCTAAGCTAAAAATGGAAATTTGGATTAGATAACATGTCTCATTCAACATTGGGAGTAATGTGTTCTTGTTTGGTTTTTAGAACAAGTTGAGATCTTCGTCTCCCCTGCTCGATTAGGGCACTGCAGAGTAGAGCAGTGCCCATGGACACCACAGCGAGTGGAACCCCGAGTGTTCAATACTGTAACATAGCCGAGCAACCCATTGCTACTCTCGTCACCTCTCCCGTGCCCACGTTTCAAAAGCAACAGAGGCATTGTCTTGGAAACGCTCGTCCCGGGGAGTTCCCGTTGTCTGCCAACCCCTCCATTGTCCTTCATGTCCTTACTGGGTGTAATTTGGATCCACAGGACCTCGCGATACTAGAGGCATGTGTTTCTACCTTTTAGTATCTTCGAAGCGAACTATGTTTGGCTTGAGAATTGATGTTGCTGCTGATTTGAATTATATAATGCGGTTTTGCAGGCCACTTGTTCGTTCTTCAGGCAGCCCGCACACTTCCCGCCTGATTTTCAGCTCTCGTTAGCCGAGCTGGCAGCTCTAGATATGTGCCATAAGAGAGCTGTGTTTAAGCCAATGACCCAAGAAGAACAACAAGATTTGAAGCAAAGATGTGGGGGCTCGTGGAAGCTTGTCCTGAGATATTTGCTGGCCGGGGAAGCTTGTTCAAGGCGAGAGTCCTCACAGGCGATAGCGGGCCCCGGTCATAGCGTTGCAGTGACTTCAAAAGGAGTCGTGTATGCTTTTGGCTCTAACAACTCGGGACAGCTTGGCGTTGGAACCACCGAGGAGGAGTGGAGGCCCCGCCAGATTAGGTCGATACTTTGTAATCTTTAGAGTCAGCGAGGGTTTCAAAGAGAACTTAATTATACAGCTTGCTATGATGCAGATCTCTGCAAGGCATCCGTGTTATCCATGCAGCAGTTGGAGCTGGGCGGACAATGCTGATTAGTGATGCTGGAAAGGTTTATGCTTTTGGTAAGGATTCGTTTGGTGAAGCCGATTATGGAGTCCAAGGAAATAAAACCGTAACTACCCCACAATTGGTGGAATCTTTGAAAGACATCTTCGTTGTACAAGCTGCAATTGGGAATTTCTTCACAGCCGTACTGTCGAGAGAAGGAAGGGTTTACACGTTTTGTTGGGGGAATGAACATAAACTCGGTCACCAAACCGAGCCAACTGATTTGGAGCCCCGCCCTTTGCTCGGGGCACTCGAGAATATTCCAGTCGTGCAAATCGCAGCAGGATACTGCTACCTTCTCGCTTTGGCTTGTCAACCTAGTGGAATGTGAGCTCCCTATTCATTTATGCTTCTTAAAAACCAGTACAATTTTGAGCATATTGACAAATAATGGCCTGAAATGATTACTGAAAAGTTCTTGCGTTTTGATGATATTAGGTCTGTATATTCTGTTGGTTGTGGTTTGGGTGGAAAGCTCGGTCATGGGACTCGAACTGATGAGAAGGTCCCAAGGTTAATTGAACAGTTTCGGGCTTTGAATCTTCAACCAGTAGTGGTTGCAGCGGGAGCTTGGCATGCTGCGGTGGTTGGGAAAGATGGAAGGGTCTGTACGTGGGGGTGGGGCCGTTATGGATGCTTAGGGCACGGGAATGAAGATTGTGAATCGGCTCCTAAGGTGGTGGAAGCTCTGAGTAACATTAAAGCCGTTCATGTTGCCACGGGAGACTATACGACTTTCGTGGTTTCTGAAGATGGCGACGTCTATTCGTTTGGTTGTGGAGAATCGTCTAGTCTTGGACACAATGCTGTCGTGGCCGATGGACAGGTTTGGCTTTGACCCTTCTTAATTTAATGTTTTTTTCTCGATAGTTTCCTACATAAACTTTATCCGGTTACACTTGACACCTCCCGAACTAATATATGTGCTTGCACCTTACCGATATTAGATGGCACGAGCTAAACATTTGAAACGCCACTTTCCAAATTGAATCCCGGAAATTTGATTTAGGTGTAAACGTGGCTTAGTTTCACCCGCATTGCAACCAACAATTGCTCACTAAATAGACTATGATAGCTTTTCAGCCGTGGTTTACTATGTTTGTTTCGGTTTTCTAAGTCATGATAGGTTATGTTTGCTTAAGATAGAGATATACTCCTTTCTTTAAATGTAAGGGGTAGAACTTTTATATCTTCTGTTGGGTGTCGGCCGAGTTTAGCCCCTACTCGATTCGAGACGTGGCGCTGTGGCTTATCATGGAAGGATGTGGTTAAATAGTTAATGTCCACGTACTTATCACCATTTGGTTTTAAGTAGGATATGACAACCAGATAGCCAAAGAACTCTGTGGTTAAGCAGTCACAGGGGTCTGCAGTTGAAATACTAAGCCAGAACCACATACTAAAGATATAACGGGAAAAATGTCATATCTCGAGAACTTAGCCCATGTTATTTTTGTATAAATGCAGTGTTCTAAGTGCTAAATGTATGGAAAATTGGAAACGCTTTGTGTGTATAATGCCTGCCTCGATTTTCAGGTAAATAGGCACTCGAATATCTTAAGCCCCGAGCTCGTGACATCACTGAAGCAGGTGAACGAGAGGGTTGTACAGATAAGTCTTACGAATTCCATATACTGGAACGCCCACACATTTGCGCTCACAGAATCTGGTAAGCTCTTCGCCTTTGGGGCGGGCGATAAAGGGCAGCTGGGCGTCGCACTTTCTGCCAACCAAACCGAAAGGGCTAACCCGGAACGTGTGGAAGTCGATCTCAGTTAACCATTGATCAGATATGTGTAGTCTGTCTAGTTTGTCATCCTAATTAGCCCTCCCCTCATGCTTTGCTCTGCATATGCTGTTTATATCTCTCCATGTCCATTGTGTAAATAGAAACAAAACAATATTTGTGAATAAGCTAGGTTTTAAGATTTGACAATTAACCTTAAAAAAATTTATTGGCTATTGAGCCACATGCAGTAAATAGTTGATACATTTGTTCAGGTTGTTGATTTTATCATTACTATCTTTTTTTTTTATTCACGGGAAAATTCACAGTCGTTATTTGAATGTCAGTAGTAAATCACGAGGTAAATTAACTTAAATTGTTTATAGTTGTCCGGTTTAAACTAAGAAGGTCAATATGCAATTTTTTGCAGATGAATTATATGGTTTGTTTTTCTTTAACTTTCTACTATTAAGTGTGGCTCCATATGTGTTAGCTTTTGGGGTGAACCCTGCTCCCATTGGCTCCCTCCCCCAAAGAAATGAAAAAATTTGCATTAATGAATTATTGTAGTAAATATTATACAAGAGTTGTATATCTCACTTTGTTAAAAGTTCTGCTAAACAAGATTATAATTAGCAAAAGATAAATGCTATTTTTTCTGTTTGAATTTACCTCCTAATGTTTCGTTAGTTGTTTATGTTATGAATGGGTTTGTTGGTTTTATGACTACTCGGGTTAGTTATTCGGCGAGCTAACATGACCGAAATTAAATAAAATAAGTAATTGAGAGAAAAAATAAAGGGAGATAATATTTTTAACGTGAAAATTGAATAGTGAAAATTATAAGCCTTTTTGGGCGGTGTTAGACAATTTATATCGTGCACCACGATACACATAGCAATGTGCGCCCAGGCACAAAACACGCGCGTTTCTTGCTGATGTCACTCTGTCTATCCCAACAGACCAAATCCCATTATGTGTATTCAGTTAAAAGTTTATGTGTATTGTGTTATGAGTTTATGTGTATTCAGTTAAGAGTTTATGTGTATTATGTTAAAAGTTTATGTGTATTATGTTATAGTTTATGTGTATTATGTTAAGAGTTTGTGTATTATGTTAAGAGTTTATGTGTATTATGTATTATGTTAGATTATGTGTATTCTGTTATGAGTTTATGTGCATTCGAAACAGAAGATTATTTTCTTTAACAACTTAACAAAACGACGTCGTTTTGGGAAGTGTGAGACGCACAATGTTATGTGCGCCGTGGTGCACGGTATAACGATTGGCGGTGTTAAGCCGAAATTCATTATTTTTCAATCGTTATATCATGTATCAGGGTCTACAGTGCACTGTGAACCCTGGTCCAAAACACATGCATGTACATATTATAGTATTATTTTTTTATGTACCTAGATCCACCATGCAAGTTGACCCTGAACTACGATATAATTTGCCAAATATGTTGATTGAGCTATCTATGGCCAAAGTTTTTGTAGACCATGAATAAAAGGTGCATTTTTAATATACTAAACATACATTTTATTTATGTACTAAATGAGTGAAAATACATTATTTGATAATATACAAAATAATGTACTTTCAGTAATCAAATAATGTAATTTCAATACTCGAATAATGTACTTTCAAATAATGTATCTTTAGTAATTAATATACAAATAATATATTTTTAATATATTAAAAATATATATTTGGGAAAATGGTCAAATAGGCCAGGTCGATATGATCACCATTTTTAGGATCCATTATTTATGGGCCAACGTTAAATCATCCTTCCATAAACTATTTCTGGGTTCTTCACAGAAGTTCACTTGCAAAAAGTCTGAGAGAATGGTGAAAACTATCTTTTTGACAAGCCTGTTATTTCAAATTTGGACAGGGCACACAGCCCATCACAGATAGCAATCATTATTCCAAAAACTATGTGTGTGAACAATGAATAAAATATATAGGGAAAAGGGTCAAATAGGCCCTTGAACTTTAGCTTAAAAGTCAATTAGACCTTTAAACTTTTTAAAGGTGCAATTACACCCATCAACAATTCATTTAGGTGCAATGAAGCCCAAAAATAAATTAATGACCTGTTATCACAGGTCATTAGGGTTCAGGCCACCTTCCGGCAAAAAAAAAAAGTGACCGGCGAAATTTTCGACAAAAAAAAAAATTGACCGGCGACAGACGAACGGTCGCCGGCGGTCACTTTTTTTTTTTTTTTTTTTGCCAGAAATTTCGTCGGAAGGTGGCCTGAACCTTAATGACCTGTAATAGCAGGTCATTAACTTGTTTTTGGGCTTCATTGCACCTAAATGAATTGTTGATGGGTGTAATTGCACCTTTAAAAAGTTTAGGGGTCTAATTGACTTTTAAGCTAAAGTTCAAGGGCCTATTTGACCCTTTTCCCTATATATTTCTATATATTTTATTCATTGTTCACACACATAGTTTTTGGAATAATGATTGCTATCTGTGATGGGCTGTGTGCCCTGTCCAAATTTGAAATAACAGGCTTGTCAAAAAGATAGTCTTCACCATTCTCTCAGACTTTTTGCAAGTGAACTTCTGTGAAGAACCCAGAAATAGTTTATGGAAGGATGATTTAACGTTGGCCCATAAATAATGGATCCTAAAAATGGTGATCATATCGACCTGGCAGTTTGGAAATTTAAAAAAGAAAAAAAAAATAATGCATTAGAAATGAATTTTCATTATACTATAAATGAATATGTATATCAATGATTCACCTTAATTACTATGTAAATTATGGTCCACAATATAATGATTGTGTGGAGCCAACTGCAACAAGCTCCATCCGGGGCCTTGCAATGTTACTTCGACCCAGGGTACTCCGCGGCGACAGCTTTAGCGTCCTTCGGGGCAGTGTTGCTCTCGGCCGAAGGTTCTTTTTTGGCTGCAATGAATGGAAAGCTTCCCTATTGTTCCAGTGCTCTCGCGGCGGAATCTTTTGCTTGCAGAGGCCCTCTCGTGGTTAAAGAACCGTGGAGTCTCTCCGGTACGGTTGTTCTACACACTGATTGCTCGGTTCTTCACCACTACATTACATGCTCTGTTGCTAAACCAAGATCGTACGTTGGCGTGGTGATTGATGAATGTTTACACTTTGTCTTTATTTACTTCCTGTCGTTTGCTTTTAGTTTCAAGACAGTTTAATTTGATTGCTCATACTTTAGCTTCTAAAGCATTTGCCCTATGCATAGGCTAACTCTTTATACTGGGACTCTGTCCCTCCTGACTTTGTTTCAGCTCTTTTGCATTAATATATTCATGCTACTTTTGCTTTCAAATATATATATATATATATATATATATATATATATATATATATATATATATATATATATATATATATATATAATGGTTGTGTCATTTCTCCCTTGCTTTTTTCGAGTAACCCATGCAACAAATATATGAGTACTTTTCAAGTACATCTCACAAATACTAATTATTAAAACTTATGTTGCTATGATTTATGAGAAAGTCTATAATCGTGATCTGAAGATGCATTTTGGATGAACCTACCTTATGATTTTAACAGACGAAAGATTATAAGAAGGTAAAGCAACTTAGATTTAATCATTTAAATAAAAAAATGTCTATGATAGTTCTCACGTAGAGTTGAATTTGGAGAATTTTGTTGAGTTATATATAAAGTTTTTGCAAAACAATAGTATTTAAAACGATAATAACAGTTAATGTGGTTAGTACATGTTAATTTGTGGAGCCCACCTATCTACTTTTTGAAGACAAAATTAGCCCTCATCAAGTTCTTCACCACCATAGGTGCTCCTGTCTACACACATCCCTGTCACACACTTACACTTTATTACACAGAAATAAACTTATTAATTATTGTCTGCACATAAGTCGCACAAAACACTACATGTTTTAGTGCTTCCTATGACTTGATTTGCATGCTTTACCTACAAATCTGACCTATAATCGGAGTACAAGGTGTGGACTGTCGGCAGCATAGTTAAAAATATATAATTCATGCACCCGTAAGAGATGAGCGAATAGGTGAAACATGACGAACAGTCATGAATTTAATTATTATCAACACTTTCTTAATTAAGTATGTCACTTGAGAGAACCTTTCTAGTGCAATTTATATCTTATCTCTGGTGTAATTTGTGTATTATTATCCTCGAGAAACGTTTATTCGATGCACACCCTTAAATAGATAGGAACATGATTTATCTCGTGTACACCTCCGGATACTAGATGTAGGTTTCCTCATATATATGAAAAAAAAAAAAAAAAAAAAAAAAAAAAAAAAAAAAACCCTTTTAAGCTTTAAGGGGCGCTCTAAACTATGTAGACCTAAGCGAGATATATTTAAATGTTTTTATGTAATGCATGTTAATTTGTAAAATGTGAGATTATTATAAATGATAATGTTACCTCTTAAAAGATAATATGAGAGTATGATAATGTAAAGTTATTGGAATTATATTTTAAGTTATATTATATAATTTACATAAATGTTTTCAATATAAATAAATAAACAAACAAATACGGAGTATTATATATGTACATCATCAGTACATGACTGTATAATACGGAGTATATTATTTTATTTATGTATAAATATATTATTATTATTATTATTATTATTATTATTATTATTATTATTATTATTATTATTATTAGTGAAACGGTCTCATAGAAATGTGACCCAATAAAATGGTATAAAATCATCATAATCACATTACCGGCCTGATTTATTAAAGGTAAATTACTCTTTTTTTTTTTGTAAATTTAAATAATATATGTGTAACTTTTAAAAAGGAGAGCGACCAAAGCAATGAATATTGTATTTATACAATTTGAAGTAACATTTGAGGACGTAATTGAAAAGCTTTTCTTGCTTTGGATTAAGTTGCAATTAGCCAATTAGGAGATTCAAGCATATATATGCTTTCCATAATGTTGATTGAGAAATTGGGGTTATTAAAAAATCGTATCACGTGCAAGTCTTTTCTCTACTTTTACAGATCTTGGATCCACCGCACGAATATATAAGCAACGTAACCAACCAAGTACATATATCTTTGTACACTGGTAGCTCAAATAATAAATGAGCTCTTTTTATAGAAGAAAATTTCGAGATAACTTGAGTTTGATCCCCTCTTAGAGCAAATATGGAAGCGGGTGGACTTGAACCGTTTGTGACTTTAATTAATTGACAAACGACTACAAAGAGGTCAGGTAAACCAAATTATGTTGCCTATAGCTGACTGGAATTGATC